ATTGTCTTTCCTTCTCTTTAAGGATAAATTGGCTTATTTTTAGCTGATTGTCTCTCAATCCATGCAAGTTTCAAGCCTCATGTGAATGAAGATAGTTTCATCCCTAATGCCCAACCATCCTATATTTTCAAGAACTTTTTCACATGGGTTTTGAATTTTCATTCGGGATTTTATCATTTTTTATTAGGCCGAATAATAGGCCACACTATGAACTCTATTTGGGCTTTGTTTTGGATCAATTTAGGCTTCATTTTGAACTTTGTAAAAGACTTCTAAAAGGGTCACATTACAGACCACACTTTGGATTTTAAAATAGGTTTTTAAAATGGGCCACCTTATAATTGTTCTTTTTTTTGAGTTGCAAATGGACCCTCAATCGATTTTTTTTTATCAATTCTAAGCCTCATTTAATGATTGTTTTGAGCTTTTAATTGGGTTAGAAAATAGGCTACTTGAAATTACCAATTTTGGTTTCTGTTTCAGAGCTTCCTAAAATAAATCATGTAGTAAGCTCGAAAAACAAATACCTTAGACCATTGCATAAAAAGGAGTTTGAATTAATAGTGTTAAATTATTTCAGATAAAATTATGTGTCTACAGTTTTGATATTCTTATCCATTAATTTTTTATTATGAAATTTATTTAATTAGAAAATAAAAAAATAGAAAGGAAAAAAAATTAAGGTGCCACATGGCACATACATTGTTTTTTCACAAAAATTTATCTAAATTAAAAATAAAAAAGTTAAAAAATAAAAAGCCAAAAAACTAAAGTGGCACATTAAAACTTTAAATAAAGGTCAAACAAAGGTAAAAATGAGTAAATTTTATATAGTGAATAGATGGATGGTTTACATCTTAATTATATATAAATATGGCATATATTTTCTTAAATTAAAGTATAAAATAATAATTTTATTAATATAATACATACATATAAATATAATATAATATAATAATGTAGTTAAGACAAGATAGAATATCATAAACCGCCTCTTACAAAATCTTGATTTCGAAAAAATGCATTGATTCGATCTTAAATAAAATGCACCTACCGGATCTAAATGATTTGAAACCTATTAGATATGGATTGTTTTTTTTAGAGTACCTTAATTTACATTTCTTTAAAAAAATTATTTATCGATTTTTGTATTGTAAATTATCTTATTAAAATAAACTAAAAAGATAAAAAATAAAATAGAGTGTTACTTCTACATATTTGTTGTTTTTTTTTTTTTCCAAAAAATTATCTAATTAAAAAAATATATAAAAGAAAAAAAATTAGAAATGTAAAAAGAAAAGACAAAAAAAAGGAAGAAATTTAGGTTGTCAAGTGACATTAACAATGATGCAAAAATTTATGTCATATAATTATCCCTTTTGTTTTTATTTTATTTTAATTTATTTTTTTATATTAATATTTTTTAGATACTTTTTATATAGGGCCAATTTAATATTATCGATTAAAAATATCTTTTCTAATGTTATTATCTTATACGCTAAAACTAAAAAAAGAAAGGTTTGAAAGAAAAGAGAAAAAAAATCAAATCCAATTGCCATATTGAAACCGCTGTTAATATATATTTTTTCAAAACCATCTAATCACATAAAAAATACAACAAAAAGGGGAATGATATTTTTAATCAATAACATAAAATTAGCCACAAACATAAAAAATATTTATTTCAAATATACATTAAATATGTAAAAAAAAAGAAAAGAAAAGAAAAGGCTAAACACAAAAACAAAAAAAGTCGTGTTGACACGCAACATCAATAATAAAAAGTTAAAAAATTATATAATATTTAAAAAAAAAAACTAAAAAATGAAAAGATAAAAAAGTCAAATCTAGATATGACATCTATACATTTATTAGTATTTATTTCTCAAAAAATTATCAAATAAAAAAATAGATTTTTAATAATATAATTAAAATGGTTAATGTCAAAAAAATTTTAATGTTTTATCAAATAAAAATGGAAAAAAGATTAAAAACAAAAGAGACAAAAGAATCAAATGAATTAACATGTTACATATCAATCATGCAAAAGTGAGTCTTTTAAAAAATAAAATTAAAAAGTTATTAATTAAATATATAAGAAAAAAACTTAAAAACTTAAAAGAATACATGACATAACATTGGTATCAAGTAGGTTAAATTCAAAACAAATCCTAAAAGATATTTGTTAAGTTTTTTAAAAAGAAAAAAATTTTGGTATCAATTGGGTAAGATAAAAAAATTAAAAATGATTATTAAATTTGAAAAACAGAAAATTTTTAAAAAAAAATACACATGAGACTCAAGCAATAAAAACAAAATAAAAGGAAAAACTGAGTTTTATAAAAAATAATATAAAAAACAAAAAAAATGTATTCCAATAAAAAAGTGAGTCCTACAACATTAAAATTAAAAAATATTATGAAAATACATAAAAGTAAAAGAAAAAAACTGTGGGTCTCACAAATAAAAACAAAAAAAAAAAAAGGAAACCCATGAAAAAAATAAAAAATTTTGAAATTTGAAAAAAAAAATGAAAATGGGTTCCACTAAAAATCAAAGTGAGCCCAGAACATAAAAAATAATTAAAAATGCTACAAAAATATATAAAAAATAAAAAACCTGATGGTGGGTTCTTGCAATTATTAATTCTTAGAGCATATAAATCAGGATGATTGATTTTCTGTCTTATTACAGTCTGGTGACCAACTATAATTTATAAATGATCATTGTTACATTATCAAAGAATGAGCTGAATACATCCTTCATTGGATAAATGATTAAGAACTAAGTTTTGTTTATATTTGAGAGAATTAGTGTCTACTCCCACTTATTTTTAATTGTTTAGAATGTGGTATTCAAATTCCCTTCTTCGGATTTAGACATTCTATGATAAACTTTGGTGACCTCTTGTGCCGTCGTTTTGTTTTATCTGAAGAACTCACCCTTTCTTTTTTGTCACTGTTTAGCTGTTAATCTTTTTTCTTTTTTAATTTTCTATATGTAATATGGATTGCCAAATATCAAATGTCCAATCCTTCATTGAGAAATATTGAATATGTTTGAGCTTTTCCATTCCTTGGTTTTGAACTGTGATGTTTAGGTCATATCTAATTGCTCTTAAAATGCAGATATTAACCTCCTTTTCTGGCTGATCAAGTGAAACCTTTAAATGAATATGAAGATGATGGAAGTAAGCAATCTTGTATGGAGAACAAGTACCTATCAAAAGAAAAAAAAGAGAATGTGTTAGTAAAATATCTAATATTTTAATGTTGTCTAGCTCTAAAGGCTTCACCAAGGATACGAGGAAGGGGGTAAGGTGGTTGAGCTAAAATAAAAAATTTGAAAAAAAAAAAAACGATGTTAGTTAATATAAAAGAATTCAAAAAGCGAAAAAAAATAGAAATCGACATATGGCGCATAGTGCAAGCCACAACATTAATATTATATATTGTATAGATTTATTTTATTAATTTTTAATTTTTAATTTTTATATTTATTAAATATTTTTTGGAAGTTGAAAATCACTATTTTCTTTGGAAGTTGAAAATCACTATTTTTTTTGGCCAAAACAATCTATATAATTAAAAATAATTTGGAAAAATTCATTTTAAAAATTAAAAAAAAATTCATGAACCAATTATTACACGACACATGGTGCAAAATTTGAGCATTTGATAAACAAAATTAATTTGGAGACATATCCTCAAGGCAAAAAACATCCATTGTTGATAAATACTTTTATGGGCTTTTAGTGCAAGGAAAAGTAGGATTTCCTTCTGAAATTTTATTTTTTTATAATTTAATTCGTTAGTTTAATTCATGAAATATGACTTTTGAAAATTTTTAATATTTTAAACAGTATAAAAAATAAAAAGTAGGGATAGTAAAAGATTCTTATTCCTTTAGTTTTTTAGACTTTGAAGTAAAAGTAAAAATTTGTCCAATTAGTCCTCATTTAATTACATTTGAGAGTATATTATCCTTTTTAGTTTCCTAAATTTACAAAATAAATGTGATTTTTTTATTTATGGTATCAATAAGTATTGTGGTTTTAAAATAAAAATGTAGTGGATATTGATATTATATTTTCAAATTTTTAAAATTTTAACTAAGGTCACATTTTTAAAATAAAAACATAGTAAATATTAAAGATATTTTTTCAAAATTTTGAAATTTTAACAAAGACAGTATTTTTAAAACAAAAAATTATAGTGATAGTTAAAATTATATTTTCAAAATTCTATAATTTTAACAAAAACCATGCTTTTAAGATAAAAAATTAGTGGATATTGAATTTATATTTTCAAAATTTTAAAATTTTAATAAAGATCGTATTTTTAAAATAAAAAAAAAACACAATAGATGTTAAAATCATATTCTCAAAATTTGGTAATTTTAACAAAAATTACGTTTTTAAGATTAAAAATGCAATGGATGTTGAAAATATTTTTATTTAATATTATTATATAAAATCTAAAATCTATTTACTTAATATTATTGCATATAAAATTTGTTCTGGAAGTCCCAAGTGGGATGTTTACCACCATTTTCCAATGCCACGTCAATTTTACCACAAAAGTCGATCCACATATTTTCTTTGTGTAGGGATAATCAATGTTAAGGTAGTAATTAAGATTGTAAAATTATTTTTGTTGCAAACATGAAAAAAAATAATTTTAAAAATTTTTTAATTTCGTTACAACAACACATTGTCCAATGTATTATGGATCTAAAAGATTCCCTTAATTGCAAAATCAAATGCATCCTCAAGAGTCTCAAATCTAGATCTTGGATTTGCATAAACTACTCTTGGAATTATACTTTTAACCTCCGTTCTCAAGGCCAATATTCTATCTTCTAAAATTCTAAGCAGTATTTCATTGAGCTTAATTTTCCATTCGCTTAAATCCTTTACTGGTATATACACCTAGTATTTAGTATAATTCTTCGATAATGCCATGTGTATTGGGCATATGCAGTACCTGGATGGAAAAAAACTAGAATGCACCCTGCCAAAACTGAGTCAAAAATTGATCTCCTTGTACAAAAACTGCAAATGCTATCGATGAATCATTGGTTAAACATTCATACATTTTCATCTTATTGTGGAAGATGACTTTTAACAAGAATTGATTTATTAGAAACCAGCTACTGTTTAGCAAAACGTTTTTAGGGTTTTCAATTTGAAGACCAAAATCCAAGTTCTCTAAGTATGGACACATGTTTTTATCAATTCCCTTAGTAAGCAATCGACAATGTTTGACCAAATCCTTATTAAATCTACTAGGAAGATTATGAACAAATATATATCTTCCCAAACAAAAGTCCACCTTAGTTTCCACTTTCAATTCTTCTGGTCTGTCAGCCTTTTTGTTGGCTTCACCAGTTTTATTCACCATTACATTGACAGGTAGGCTATTGAGCAATGGAGAAATGGTATCATTAGAAATTTCAATGAAGTCATGGGAAAGAGAATTTTGGGTACTGATTGCATTTGCATGATTGTTATCCAAAACAGTGACCCCAATTTTTCCACCAATTATAGCTAGGTAATCAAAGCAAAGCAACCCAAGACAAAAAACAAAAGAGACAAGTAACACAAACCAGGATTGATTGTTGCAGCACTTTAGAGTGATGGGGTTTTCCATATTATGTTTTCCATATTCTCTAGTTAGACTTTTTTCCTCTGCTACTTCCACAAACAATTGCAAGAAACAGAGGGAGAAATGGAGAGAGTTTTGAGAACTGCATAAAAACAAGTGAGAAACAATGGTTTGTTTGCCTTTAGTGGAAGCCTTATTTCCTTGATCTGAGGCTTAATGTATTGAAGAGAACCTTAATTCAAGGTGAAAATGTAAGGGATTACATTGCCATTTAATTCTTACATTAAATAAAGGGAGTTGTGCAAATGTCTAGATTTGTGCAAAACTCAATTGACTGAAGGAGCAAACATCTTTACCTTGTTAAGAGATTAAATACAAGTGGGTCACCACCATTTTGTTTTCTCTCACCGTATCTAAAAATGAGTTACGATACAAGGTTTTGATACACTAAAAATTATATACAAATTTGGATGTAATTTAATCATAATTATAAAAATTTAATTGAAATTAAATTTATTAATAAAATTTATATTTATTTAACTAAAATAATTAAAATAAAATTATCGATTTGTTATAAGTGCAAATTTTATGATTATATCAAAATTTTATAGTAACTTTACTATTTAGATTAAAATTCATTCGTTGGAGGGAATATCTTTACTAGCAATAATTTTAAAACTATTTTGGAACGCAAATGTCTATTTCATTTGCATGAAAAAAAGAAAAAGAAAATTGGAAAGAAGGCTCATGAAGTAGAGAAAAATTTTAATTTTATAATTGATTTTATAAGATTTAAATTACAGGACTTTTGGCAAGCAACAAAGGATAAATACGTTTTTCTTTGTTGGAGCTAAAGACTTCTTATTTTGTAAATTTTAGTTTACATTGTATATACTTCTCTTTGTATAGTTTTTGTTAATACAACACGGTATTTTTTGTAGCAAGATTCTATCTTTATATGTTTCTTGGATAAATAAAAATATATCATCACTAGTTTTTTTTTTTTTTTACCTGTGCCATGCACATAAATTTTTATTGTATTTTTATAATTTAAAATTTAAATTTATAGAAATTTTTATATTATATAGATAAATAAAAATGTTCATAATCATCTATAATTTATATTCAAAAATTTTAAAAATCATCTATATAAAAATTATTATGAAAGAATCCAAATAAGTATTTTGCAAGTTTGGAAAAAAATTAATTTTAATAAAATTTCTTTGTATTATGAAAATAAAATTACATACAAAACTCAATGAAAAAATCAATTTCTTATTCACAATTACATACACTCTTAAAAGTACATATTATTTTAGTGTGAAAACTAAAATTTATACGTGACATGTTATTTATAGGTTGAAAACCTTAATTTTGTTTTTCTTTAAAAATTTTTGGGTAGTAAAATTATAAATTTTAATTTGAAATTTCAATGAAAATAAAAATAAATTTAGCCTAATAATTAGGATTTACCATCCAATTAATAGAATTAAAGATTATTATTTATATGATTTTGAATTCAAAATTTTTGATAAAAATAAAATAAATTCACAATATTCATAATTATGTTTAGCATTTCAAGGCCAACATAAATACTATTCAAAATCCAAAATTGCCAAAGGAAAAGTGACGTATGAATTGTAATTACATGCTTATTTAATTAAATTATTATATGATAAATATCTATCTTCTATATTTTTAAGAAAAAATGTACATAATATGATTTTAGGCTTAAATCAAGATTTATGATTTTAACTATTAGATAAAATTGTGAATAATTTGGTCAAAATATAGTAGCAAATTAAAAATAATCGAACATGCAATATGAATTTTAAAAAACATATATTTTTATCAATTTAGTTTAATTAGATTAATTGAATTAAATTTTTATCTAAGTTAAATTTTAAATTAAGATAAAAGAGGTTAGAATAAATTTAAATTTAGATATGTATATAATTTTAAATTGAGATAAAATATTTTTCTTTTTTCCTTTTAAATCATAGGAAAATAAAGCTAAAAAAATTGGTAAACAATAGTGATCCAACAATACCTTTTATTTATTTAAATTTATGTGAATATTGATTTAGACACTATATGATTTTTTATGGTTTCTAAAATTTAGGGATTTAATTTGTAAAAATTATTTGAATTATATATTTCATATATATGGATAAGAGTGAGATATGAAATGTGTTTTTTTTTTAATTTTAAATTAGGATAAAATTTATATATTTTAAAAGATTTTGATAAATGTAAATTTAAAAATTTAAAATTTTTTAAAAATTGAATAATTATTAAATAAAGTTATTTAGAACTATCCTACGTGTTAATAATATAGGTTGTCCACCTAAGTGTCTATGTAAACAAATCTTATCAAGTTTTTATGCATGTTATAATATAATATTTATGTGAATATTGATTTAGATGGTATATGATTTTTTAAGGTTTCTAAGATTTAGGGATTTAATCTTTAAAAATTATTTGAATTTTGTATTTCATTTATATGGGTAAAAGTGAGTTATTAGATATGTTTTTTTGGATTTAATTAAGATAAAACTTATATATTTTAAATGATTTGGATAAATGTACATTTTTAAACTTTAAAATTTTTAAAAATTGAATACTTAATTAAATAAAGTTATTTAGAACTATATTATATATTAATAATATAGATTGTCAATCTAAACGTTTACATAAATAATTATTATTAAGTTTCTATGTATGTTGTAATATAATATTATAAATGATTTATCTAAAAAATCAAAGTTCATTTAAAAAAAATTTAAGAATAAATTTAGTTTTTTTCTTTTATTTATGTGAAATTTTATATAGTGGTTATAGTCCCCTAAAGTCGAGAAAAAATAGTGAAAGTGCACAAAAAAATGCAATTATTTATAATAAGTTTTCTTTTAAAGTCTAATGAAAATTTTGGATAAAAGAACCAAATTTAGATAATTAGATAAATCATTTATTGTGTTTTTTTTTAATGTGGATAATAATTTTAAGTCGAGAAAATAAAATTAATTTATTTTCCAATACCAAATCAGTAACTCTAAACTTGGTGACTTCTTTTATTTTAAACTTAAAAAAGAATTAAAAAGTTTCTAAATCCTCCAATAATATAAGATGCAAATGCATGATCTAAAACCATTTTTATGTTTGAAATGTTCAGTAAGTTGAGGATAATGAAAGGTAAAGATTTGAGAGTGTTAATATTATTTTAAAAGTGAAATGTGAAAGATGTTTATTTATTGATTCATTAAGTCATAATAAGTAAATTTTTATCTTTAAATTTTAATATTTACAAATTTTCATTTATTATTGGGTTAATAATATCTATAATCGCTAAACTTTGATCCAAATTTTGTTTTTGTGTCTAATTTTTAAAAAATTTTAATTAGATTCCTCATTGTTTAAAACTGTTTTATTTTGATATTTTCACTTATGAAACTATTTAAATTGACGATAAATATCAATTAACACTATATGACAACTTAGTTGGCATCTCATGTGATAGAAGAGGAACAAAAATAAGATTCTCTCAAAGTTTAAGAATTAAAGATGAAATTAACTCAAAATTTTATATATAAAAATAAGTTTGCAATTAATATATTCTCTTTCTTAGATTTTATGAGAATAGAGAAGGATAAAAATCAATAAAATTTAAATTTAAAGTTTCCTCCATTCCTTGTTTATTACTGCCAACAAACAACCTTAGGGAATTTTTTTTTTTTTTTTTTTATAAAACAGTTATAGAATGGATAAAGAAAAGTATTATTGAGATTTGAATTTTAAATTTATTAAAAAATATTTTTTATGAATAATTGTATAAACTAACAATTACATAATCAGTGAGGGCTCAAGCATCCACTGGCCCTACCCTTTGCCTGGATATCTACATGATAAGAAAGCCATTATTACCATGTCTGAATTGCATTCAGAACCACCTCCGGTGACCTCTAAAACATCAACTTTGACAGGAGATTTGAAAGTCAACAAGTTGATATTCATTTAAAAGTTTGAAACAAGTGAATTATAATTATCTTTCCCTTGATCGTTTGTTACTTATCCTTCATCTTCACTTCTTTTGCCTTAAGAATTTGTCTCCATAAGTAATTAGTTTTTTTTTTAATTTTACTTATAAAATATTTTTAAAAATATTAAAATATAAAATAAAATATTTTAATATTAAATAAATTTTTAATGGGAGAGCTTGACTGTGCTTGATCTTGAGCCTAAATTTTAAAGATATAAACTAAGCGTGGCCTAGTTTGGTCCAAACCACAAACACCTTTTAAGAACCAAAGATATTTGTATCCAACATCACATAATTGAAACTTAATTTTGACATTTATTCATCATTTATTTTAGGAATGTTAATTTTAGTGAAAGCAGATGAAGAATTTAATTTTTTATTTTAATGAAAATGGGGATGAATATTAAATTTTAGGATAAAAATGAGATAGGTATTATTTTAAATGTTTTATCAAGGTACGGGATGAGTAATGTAACATCTATCTTATACTCATATCGGATATATACATATAAATATATTTAATAAATTAATTTTATTTAATAATATAAATTTTATTTTAAATTAATTAAAACTAATATATTTATATTTAAAAAATACATATTTATAAAAAAAATTACATAAATGTGTAAACTAAAAATAAAAAACTAAAAAAATAATTTTTATTTTTATTTTTTTAAAAAACTACTATTGCAAAAATTATCCATTATTATTGGAATAAATTTAAAATACTAGTTAAGTATGATACTGAGATAGATACAATACAAAATATAAAAAATAAAAATAAAAATGTTCAATTTACTTTATACTCTCTCTATTAACATCCTTACTTCATTTATGAAATAATCTTGATTAACAAGTGATTGATTCAATCGATTAAAGCTAAACCTTTTCGATGAATAGGTCTTAGATTTGAGTTTTGTCGATGGTCACTTATTGTGATTATCTCAAATATACGATCTGTAATCGCTTATTTTAATTATCAGATATGACATATCTTATCCTGACTTGA